AATATTATACAATGCTGTATCGCATTTACTAAGCCAAACAGTGTTGCTACAAAGTAAACAGTTCTTTACTTCTTAAAATGATTACATTATACAATACATATTGAATAACAAAACAGTTATTAACAAAATGTATTATATTATGAGCGTGTGTACAAGATGACAGAACTTCGCCATTTAGCACTGGCTTTAATTAAATTATACAGACTACAATACAGTCGTTGCAAAAGTGTAATTACATAATCACATATACGGCGTCTGCGAGAATCCATAATATATTTAGTGCAGTGATATACAAACAAAGAGAGTTATTTGTGAACCAATGAAACACCCGTCACAAACACGAGACGTGTATTTCATAATATATCACCTACCTATATGTTCATATGTTAATTGGTTATAAATTTAGAATTACGATGTTAATGACTTTTTCATATTATTTTATAGATGCAGATCAAGTTATAAAATAATCGTTATTTTGGTACGACATAAAATCACATACGTTAAATTGTATTTTTTATATTTTTATATATTTAGTAGTTAATAAGAATACATCATATGCAGTAGAAAAAATTGCAAGGACATATTTCAATGAAAAAAAAAAAAAAAAAAAAAAAAATGATAATCAGTTCGTGATTAAAAAAAAAAATGGTTGGCAAGTGGGTAACACTCTGCTATACGATAGTTGTCGAGCTGGTAATCGTGATGGACGTGTTAAATTTGAATTCAATGATATATCTTTGTATACGAAAAATTATTCTGAGCAGAGACTCAGTTTATATCACTAAGTATATTTCATGTTATGTTTTTTTGATATTGCTATTAGTTAAAGTAATTTTTTTTTTTATTACTTTTAGAGAGAGTTGAATTATTTTTTTCAGATAATATTGCATTTGAAAATACCATAATTGAGTGTATAAAGTATAATAATACGTGTAAAAGTTGTACGTCACTACGAACAATGTATTTGAATTATAACAAAATAATGAATTCTGTTATTTATAGTTTAAAAAATATGTGATTTCATCCATATTTGGTCATAAATTGTCTATGAAAAAAAAATAAATAATAAATTAATAAAATAAACTATATATATATTTTTTAGATATCTTTGTTTTTAGTATTAGTTACTAATAAGAAACTTTATATATTAAGTTCAAGCTTTAGCTATAAAAATTATAAATTTTATAAATTTTCAACGGAAAAAAAGTTGGTAGATTTTTGTGATTTTGTTTATACATGAAGTTTATTTCCTTATAAAAATAAAATCTATCTATGCATTTTAAATATTTTTACACATTTACTAGAAAAGCTCATGTGTTCAATTTTTGAATATTCTTACCAAGCAAATACATATTGTTATCGACATTAATAAAAAAAAAACTCGTATGCTTAAAAATATTTTAAAATTAGTAAACATTTTTGAAAATTTTAACCTTTAATTTATACCATGTTAATAGTATACAGTAGAAACTCGATTATCCGAACTAATTGGGACCGCACCTAGTTTGGATATTGGAAATTTAAAAAGAAACACAATAAACACATTTTTAAAACACAGTTAAATATGATATTACATATTTATTGTTATTATTATTATTAAAATTTTATTAGAATTGCATACATTAAATTATTAGAAATAATACATTACTTAAACAGGGATATATTGTGTTTGTTATATTTTTTTTAACAAATTTGATGAAAAATTACTGATACGCATGCTTCAACGAGTTTTAACGTTCGGATACGTTAATTGTATTTCGGATAATAGAGGGTTCGTTTAACGGGCGTGTGTAATTTGCGCTAAAAACAATCCCCCTCCCCTCCACCCCTAAACAAAATATATGTAATTTGCACCACATCTAAAAATTTATTTTGGTAATTTGGGCAATTAATACTAAATAAAAATGCATTATGTAATCTGTACTATTGTGTACCTACTAAAATAAAACTGTAATTTGTGCCATTGTTCACCTTATTAAAATTGTGATTAACGGAACTAATATTAAAATTACAAATAAATTGATGTAAGTAAAACAAACTCTATGTTTATTAAATAAGTAAATTTTCGTTTAGTCATAAAATATATAAAAATAAAATAAATATAAAAATAAAAATTATATTGGACACGCGTCAGTACGTATTATCTTATGCGATATCAGTAAATTTATTTGATGGTAAATTCCAACTGCAATTGAAATTGGAAGTGTGGCGCAAAATACCAAAATTAACTTGTTTATGTGATGTTAAATACTGTTATATTTTTATATTTTGGCGCAAATTACAAGTAATAAAAATGACGCGAAATACCATCTCGTTTAACGAAGGTTCAGATAATCGGGGTTCAACTGTATTATATTTTTATAATATGCATAATATATTAAAATCATTAATTTTGAAGTCAATATGGCTTGACCGTAATAAAGTGTGAATAGGTTTATTGTATAGAATATAGATAGACATATATCATTAAGTTAGTCTAAATATTTTTAAAATTATATTGTGTATATGAAATAAACTAACACACGTAAACGTCTCAAATTTCAGTACGGTTCCAGCATAAAATAACTATGGGAAACTTTGTCTTTAATTGTTAATTTTTAAAAGAGGGGTGATAAATAAGAAAAATTCTTGAATTTTTTTACGTAAAACTAATGTAGGTATTTGATAAAATTTAATTTTGAAGATATGTTAAATTTATAAAAAATGAATATTTATTTAAAAAAAGTTCAAACAAAAGGAAAAAATTAAGATTTATTTTCAAACATTTTATTCAATTGATAATAATACAGTTACCATACTTTTAGTTTTGGTGGAAAACGTTTATTTTTATATTTCGAGCAGAGTGAATTATTATATTGAATTTATAATGTTGTGTTTTTTTCTATCAGTTATCATCTTTTAGTAAAGTTAAAATTCTTCAATTTATTACTTTAAAGAAGTGGTTTCTGGTGGAAAATTTTAATTAGTTGGTATTATGGAAAAGATGAATATTTTATAGTACCTAGGCATATTTCAAAATTTGTTTAAAAAACCATAAAATTATTATCATTCAATAAAGTTTATTTTATTTTTTTGGCATCGTTCAAAAACTAATATAGTTAATACTATATATTTTTAATAAATTTAATTAGAATTTTTTATATATGATACGATTTTGGAAATATTTTGAATTTTTGATTTATGACATCTATCTTTTTTTCTATGAATGTTGATAAAAAAATTTTACTGGGTTAAAAAACATGAGAATTGAATTTAAGGTTCCTCTTGTGTTTTTTATGTACAATAAAAATCATAGTCACAATATTTTTTCATAAATATTTAACGTTAGAATTTCGACAAAATAATTTAAATTACTAAATTTCCCTAATTATATTGTTGTTAAAAATATAAAAATATGTTTAATTTTAATAGTAAAGAATTAAGATTTTAGTACAAGGTTTATCATGAGTAGTATATACCGAAACTAAAAAATAAAAAAATATATAAACACATTTTTTTATGAAAATTTTAATGTGTGTTATATGATTAAATTTCAATTATATGTAAATTTAAGGATTGATTAAAAAATGATGTCCTCGTATACTTTTAAGTTTGATGTTTGATATTATTTTTTTTTTTTTTAAGGATATTCACAGACAATGATATATATTTGCCTTATTCTCTAAGATGAGCAAAATTTATCGGTTGTCACTCAAAAAAAAAAAAACTATATACTATATATATTCTATTAGGTTCAAGGTGTATTAAGTATTAAAGAATCATATAATAATCGATTACTAAAATCTTACAAGTAGCATTTAGAACTTCTTGTTAAATTTTTGTAGCTTTTGTATAATTTACCACCTTAGAATTTAAAGGTTAACTATAAGATAGTTTGTGTTAAGTTTTATAAGACATTGCTATTGTTTTATTAATCACAAATTATAAAAATATAGATATGATTAAAATTATAGGTAGGCATAGTTTATTAAGTAAATACAACAAATCACATTAATTTATTATCTAATAAGAATAAATAGCAACATTTCATGAAAAAAAAAAAAAAAAAAAAAACATATAAACATTTGATTATATAAATATTATTGGTATTGACACATACAATTTATAACCAGAAAATAAATAAAAAAATTTATACTTAATCTATGATCTTTATACTACGTACATTATTAAAATATTTATTGATTATATTTTAATTTATATTCCATAAATTCAGACCATCAAAGTTATGTTGTTGATCCCGAATATTTTATTTATAAACGTATATACATTTAATTAAAAACAAAATAAATATATTTAATTTAATCCTTTATTATAAAAAAGATATATTTTAATTTTAATATGTGTATTTACAGTTTTTTTTTTTTTACTATCATAGCCAATTCGTTTAATAAAAATTGTAAAAGCTAAAAAAAATTCTTATCAAGATCCAAAAACCCTGATAAATATTCAGTTATTGCGATAGCGATATGATTGACAAGCAAATATGGGCATTGACCGCAAAATACATGTTTCAATCGTAATACAACATTTTATTTGAAGCTTTTCGTTTATGCAGAAAAATAATAAGACAATTAAAGGTCTAAATAAAGTACTTGATAATAGCTTAAGTAATTGAGATTAGAAGATAAAGAGGAAATTAAGTAATACTTCGAAAGCTGAATATTATATAAACTTGTGTTCGTTAAATTAACAAACAAATCATTTCTTGAACAAGTATAATAGTTATTGATAAAAAGTAAAAATACATACGAATTATATATCACGTAGGTAAGCTTATGTAATAAAACAAATGGAGTTATAAAGATAAATGATAATCTTATATCATAATGTGTACATGAACAGTTTCATATTATATTACAATAAATTATTTACTATAAAGATTTGAATAACCATATGTCACGGATATTGATTTAAGACTAAGCAATTTGAAAATATTTTATCAACGCAATAATATATTAGTAGGACTAATAATAACTTTAAATAAATAAAAGACTTATAAATGTATCGATGTTTAAACACGACCATAAATAATGTAACATATATGATCGGTTTTTTTTAAGTATATACGTTAACGTATTATTACGGAATGTTGGTTTTCTCAATTTGCTTCTTTGGTTCAAAATATAACAAGACTTCATCTAGCGATTTCCCTTTAGTTTCGGGCATTATAAATATGGCAAATAGCATATTTAATATACAAAAGAAAGCAAATATCGACCAAACGATTTCCACTCCAAAATGTGAGACCATCGATGGATATATTTTGCAAATTATAAACCACATAACATATCCACATGTCTGTACAAGTCCATTCATAACACCTGAAAAAAAATATGATTACATATTATAAAAATTTCGTCTTGAACTATTATAAATTAAACAGATTAATCTTGGACATAATAATATGTTATGTTTAATATAAAATATGGGTACAATATAAAAGATAATGCATATTAAGATTATTTTACAATAGGTACGCCTGCATAATTTATCATTATATAAATTATAATATTATTATTGTTATACAATCCATTTAAGGGTGCACATTAAATAGAAAAGCGCATCGAAGTGTTACGAATAAGGTACACCATACATCTCATTATAGACATTTTTAACCTTTGAATAATTTTTGGAATTCATATAATGTAAATTCAAAAATAACTTGATAAGGTTTGGTTTCTATATATTATATAAATGTTCATTTTTTTTTATTTTTTTCATTGTTGATCAAAATATGAATGTTATTTTAAATATTCCTTCATTTGTAGGAATATGTTATTCTCGCGTGAGCCTGTCTTTAAATTGCGAATTTATAAAATATTTTCTTACACCACCTCAACACAATATTAGATATATATATATATTAAATATACCATACAACTTTCAAGTGTTTAGGTTCTATGGGTTAGTCTGAGCGTCGATAAGTAAGGAGTATATCGGACATTTCCCTTATAAGCATATCTATTGTATAAACGTAAAGTGCACATATTACGTGTGCATTTAACACAATCATTTATAGCCCACGGAGTTTAAGAAGGAGTTAATCCGCTGACATTAATCAATTCGATACGGGAAACGCCGTACAGGATTAACTAGTATTGTCTATCGAACGAATCGAAAACCACAGCAACTGTTATAATATACGTACGTACGCGGGTACCCAGTTTAATCACGACTTATCATACCTTTTACTTCCATCGGGAATACTTCGCCGCACAGTATCCAAGGCATCGGCAGGATGGCCAGCAGGGCGAAGAACATGAACATAATGAACGCGATGATGAGCGTCATCGGGAAAGGCGGGTTCTGGACGCCGGTGAACGCACTCATGTAGGCGACGACGATGAGCAGCGACACGGCCATACATCCGCCGGAAACCACGACGAGCTTCCGGCGGGCGACGCGGTGCATCGTCGCGAAGCCCACGCCGCCCATCAACCGGGCTATGGACAGGAACAGCGAAACGGTGTTGGCGTCCCACGGCACCTTGCAGTCCCGGAGCACGTCCATCGAGTAGAACAGCAGCACGTACACGCCGCTGCCCTGTTGGCAAATGAAGAACATCAGCGTGATGGCCGTCGGCATCCACACGTTGCGCCGCAAGAACAGCGACCAGTACGGCGACGACGGAGCGGCGGCCGTTTTCTTGCCGTTGTCCACCGTCGCGGCGGGCGGCACATCGGCGTCCACCGTCGCGGCCGCGGTGGCCGTCACGCGCGGCGACACGTGGCCCAAGTCCAGCCACCTGTCCACCTTGTCCGCCTCGGTCAAACGGCCCTTGGACCTGAGCCACATCGGCGGTTCCGGTACCATGAACAGCGTGAGGAAATTGGCCACGCTCAACACGAACATCACACCGGATATGGTTTGCCAGTGGAAGAACATGGCCATTATGCTTTCTGCCATCATGCCCACGCCTACGGTCATGGTGACCAGCGTTATGTACAGCGATCTCAGGTTGGCCGGAGTTATTTCGGAAATGTACAGAAACATACATGTACTCACGCCTGTTGAGCGAAATTGTTCGAGTTAGGTGGGGGTTGGTTATTCATATTTCGTTTCGATTAAATACAACAAACGTAAATGAACATTAAATGTTTGCATTTATAAGTTGACGTAACCCGTCCAGTTCATTTTGCCAAGTGTCAAGACGAACTGGGCGAGTTATACCTCGTACTTCTTATAAGCAATAACTTGTTGGGAATACGAGTCCCGTCATCTGATCCTGAGCGTCTCGTCTACTCGGGTGGTTTTCAGGTGGAAAAGTTCTTAGGACATGACGCGTCATTACCCAGATTTTTACTGTCATCTATCATTTAGAACCACGAGCTTAGAAAAACACCATTGTATTCAATATTCTTAAGACATGCTTCAGAGTCTGAGAGTAAATATTAAAACTAAATTTAATATACGAATGAATAAAAAAAAAAATGTGAAAAATTATTTTGATTTTTAATTTTGGTACTCACGTATAACAAAATATATTATATTATATTTTAATATAACAGTTTATACTATACATACAATAAACATTGCAGTACAAGACAAGCAAGAGATAAATTATACCTAATACCACATCATCAAAACATTAAAATATCCAAAATAAATAATAACCAATAATAAAAGATTGGTAGATTATAAGGAACCCCTGGACAGCTACTGAAAAATGCATACTAGAATGTGTTCAATAGGTTTTTTTTCACAAGTTTTAATTTTAATGTTCCGTGTTTCCGTTCAAATATAATTTCTCATTACGTACAAACACGCATTAATGCATCAATAAATCAATTTAAAAATTTCCATGACAAACTTAATAAATCCAAAGACTTTTTCACCCTAAAATTGATGAATAAATCTCCAAACTTCTATCAGAACCACAACCAACTCAAAATATATTTTTAAAAGATCATAAAAACCAACCAGACAACTTATAAATAAGATATTATCCAATTAAATGTATCATAAAAATAAATAGCACAAATTATAACTATATGATTGTAAAATTGTAGAAATATTAAATTTTTAATAAAATTAATTGAATAATAATGAAAAATATTTCACTTTTGCGTGTGTATGAATAAAGAGATAAAAACATTAAAAAACATATAGCTAAGTATTGCAGAATGCGCATGTTTCATAATATTAGACATTTGTTATCATATTGTTTCGTAATAACTTAATTATTTTAAAACTAATTCATACATTTTAGAAATAGCATGCGAAACTCACCAAATGGAATTCCAAGTATAATTTTTCCAATTAATAGTGATGTGTAAGAGTTAGCGAATGTAATTATTAGCCAACTTAAAGCCATTGGTATATAGACAATTTGAATAGTTTTTCTTCTACCAAATTTATCAGTCAATATTCCAATTATGAGTAAACCAATTGGACATATAAGTACTGTAATGCTTGCTGAAACATATCATAAATATTTTATGTTACAAATCAAAAGTTATAGTTAATAAATGTATAAATAATATAAACCATAGTATGATGTACATTATACATATTATTTAATATGAATTCCAACAAAACATAACTATAATTAATTATACTATTAATAAATTAGTTTCGTTAAATGTAAATTTTCTTAAAGTAATTAAACAAATCATTTTATATGTAAGTTATATAAAATTTGAATAACATACACTAAAGTAAAATTCACTATAATACGATTTAAAAACAAGTTAAGTCAAGAATAAGAAAAAGTTTTTTATTTTTATTTTTTAAATTATTTTAATGAGATAATAGTTATTTGTATATCATATTTAAAAAAATACTTTAAAAACAAGATGATATTTACGATATAATTAAGTATTTATTTAAAAATGAGTGTTGAATAAATTAAATTGAGATAGCTCATTAGTATATAAACACAATACCTACTGCTTTATTTTAATAGTAATTTTTATTTTTATTCACGATACCTACCTATATAATAATATTAAAATATTATTATAAAATTTGAAATCACCACGTTCAATAAATACGAATTTTCATTTTCATTTTATTTTTGCTAAAAAAGAATAATGTTATTTACATAAATTTAGATAGTAACATAAATAAGAAATATAACATGTTCCAAAGATAAACCAATAACGATAATATCATAATATGTAATATTGTAATATACTCGTATTATTAGATATTATAAGTACATAGACAGTACTTTGAAAGATACTTCAGAGTAGTTTTAACTATGAGAGTTTATTGTATACATGTGATTACATTTTTTTTTTTTAATGATTTGCTTGGTTTATTGCGTTTTTTTTCAGTTTCTGAAGTATTTAGAATTCAAATTTGAAATTATATGATTATTGGCTCAAATATTAGATTCTGAGTGAATCGATGAATGTATTGGTTATAAATTGTGTGTTCTTTATTTTTTTTTTAAATATATATATTAGTGTTTAATTGAAGGTTGGATTATGTTAAAAGAGCATTTCAAATACTTTGGCAATAAGTATTTAAGAATAAAATAAAATATTTAGTAACATGTGCAGTGATATAAAAAAAAAATCAATGATTATAAAATGTCTATAATATATCAAATATATTTTTAAAGTCATATGTGATATGATAAATATTTTTTGAAAAATCAAAGTATATTTTACTGTTGTTTGTTATTGAATTACTCAACAAATTAAAAAACATCAGTTTTATCAAAAAATATTTTTCAGTGATTGGTTTTTTAGTTTTACTTGATTATATTGAAAAGCGTAGGAAAATTTTCAGTTTAACCCCATAAAACACCAACAAAATAAAATAATCTATAGATTAGTACATTTTTACAAAAAAAAAAAAAAAACATACTCATTATTATATAATAGAAGTATTCATTACTCTGCGAAAAATTTAAACATAATATGATTCATAAATAACACAAGATTTAGAGACAAAATTTAATGAAATATGTAATTAATAATTATATTTATTCAGTATTCAGGACAAGGATATATTAAGATAATTATATTTAATTTTAGTTAATTTGTGGGTCTAAAGTTATTTTGGAATATATCTAAGTACACGATTTAATGTCAGATTTTTGAGAGTCAATTGTATATTTATGTTATATACCATGTGTTTTTAATTATATTCAAATAAATTCACTAAATTACAACTTAGAACTATCTGGAGTGTGTATTAGATAACAAATTTATATAGATACTACATAATTTCAAAATGATAGCAGATAACAAAATATAGTATTCGAAACTAAGAAAAGTATTTGAATACATTTTTAATTTACTTCTACTCAAATATCTAACATTGTCTTTCTTTAATTTAAAAATTATAACATGTATAATAGGTATTTTAATAATATAATAAATGTCCGATAATCTTCATACTTATCCAAGATTCCTCTTCGATAGTTAAATGTATTGTTGACGAAGGTTCTCGAAGTTCTGCCATGAGTGTAGATGAAAACGAATATGAACAGCCAATGAGAAATTGAGTGAAGCATATCATAGTGGAACAGAAAAACTAAATGTACCACAAATAAAGTAAAAAAAAAAAAAAAACAATCAATTATTTCAATATAAAAACAGAAGTCTTAAAAAGTATAGTGATTAATTTATTAAATTTTTTTAATACCCACAAGTTTTAGATGACATTTTAGTTGTCCTTGTTTCATTTTTCTAAAAAACAAAAAAATTGAGTAATAATTAATATGTGTTTAAAGCTAATTTATGTTAACGTAGGTATCTCGAAAAGGAATCAACCTTATACTTGGAATACAATATAATTATGAGAATAAATTGTTGATTATTAAATTATTATATACTTTTATATAAATTAGATTGGGTATCACATATGGCCACTTCATATACCGACCTAAGCCCATACATTGAAAACAATGTAGATAAGTAAATAATCTATGATACAGGGTGTTGAATGTAAAACAATATTGATAAAATTAATCAATTTTCTCTATTTCTAGTAAAATAAGATAAATAATACTATGGAAATATAATATAAAACATTTTAATGTATCGCGTGGATTATTTATATTAAGTATAATATTAAGCACCTCGTCGAGGTTCATTATCTGCATTATTACAAATTTAAAAAGTACGGCCACCGACATCAAAAGCTTTAGGTAAATATTTATTAGCAATGATAAAATTATTATTGTCCATTTGCATATCACACTATATTATAAGCATAAATACATAATTTATGATGTAGCTTTTGTTTTTTTTTACGTGTTTCAATAAACTAAAGCACAAATGTTTTCCACTTGAATACCTAAAGGTACATAATATAACATGCCAGACTATCTATGTAGTATGACGTATATTTAATCTATATAAAAACAATGGTTAAAGTAATCAAAAATATTACATTAAAAAAAAAAAAAACCACACTTTAGCGATAAGTGCCCTAAAATCCTAGTAAATAGGGTAATAACCTTAAGATTTAAAATCGTTAAAAATACACAATACAAACGTCTTATTCTGATATATAAAAATACATAGAACGTATATTATGCAAATTATATCGAAATCTCAGCCGCAATATTATTACAACAGTATTTAAAATAATATTTATTCTTATCATATAGCTACAAACTTTTGTTTATTGTAAGAAATATAAATAGTATATATAATGTATGTAGTTGATAGAGAATAGAGATTTAATACCTACTCGAAGATTGAATTAACTCTTCATGAATATTATAGCAAGCCAATGTCTTCTACAACCATACTGATTATTTCAATTTATGGAGGTTTTAGTACATATTCAATTTAATCAAATTTAAATAATTATTTTTTTGTGATGATATTTAAATAATTATTTGGGTCTATAACTTATATTGTGCAAACAGACAACAACCTATTAATTCTTTTTTAGTGAATTTCATAGTTTAATTATAGATACCCATTTTAAGCCTTGACATATGATATTATGCGTATTTAAGCCTACGCACAAAAATTAGGTAGACACGACCTAACGTATTAGTTGTTAATCAAGAAATACATTTATGAAACATAAATGTAACGTTTGAAAAAAGCGTCTTGATAATATATAATACAGTCGAACGTGGTTAACACAAAATTGTTGATACTCGGTTCCCGGTTCCTAGAAATTTCTATTTTAACATAGCAAAAAATTTTGTTCAATCCAAATATTTTCGTGAATAATTCAAAGGTTTAATTTCATTTATAAAATTACAAAATAACGATGTTTCCTCTATGTATGTACCATTTACTATTTGTATTGAACCCCCTCCTAATTTCTACGATTGCACAAGCACAGATACATTATAACAAATTGAGGTGATTAATTGAAAACAAACCAGAGGTCAGTTATGAAATTTTTGAAGGTTTAAATAAAACTGAACGATTCACTGCAAATGCTGCGATCGACGGCAAAATTCTCTAAACAAAAATAAATACTTTTATTAAATAACTTTTTTTATACATTCTTAATATTATACTAAATGTATAAGTGAATAATACATTATAATAAATGCAAAAGTATAAATAGGTACTGGTTATAAGTTACTATTTTCAATAAGATACGTTTTTTGAAATTTTATTTTTGAGTTTTTGGACAACTTAAACTTTTTTATCGGTTCCTTCGACTTTAAGCTAACTAAGTCCGACTGTATTAACTAAATTGGTTTCAAAATCGTCAATTTTATTTTATTATATACCTAGAGGTAGTAATTTAGTAATATATATTTTAATAAATAAATAAATAAAATCAGCCATACTAAAATATACTTGAGGCTACACTATATATTTTTATTATTAAACATCGTCCCGCTGTTGTCATGAAAATCGGCAAGAGCGTAGATATGACGGTTGTTCATGGGAGACGGCTGTAAACGAGCCAAGTTTTTGTTTTAAGTTTTTTTTAACCAATAATAAAAGCGTTTCCGACCAAAAGTTGAGATGAATTTTATTGTAATAGTTTGACGTTTTTGACTTCTAAACTAAAAGATACGGGAATTTATGTATTTTGAGTCAATGAGGAAGTATACTTGTACTGAATTACGCTGTGATTATGCGTTACTCTGCTTTAGAAGAAAAAGACTAAAATGGATACCATCGTACCTACCTAATTAAAGATAACAGATTCAATTCAATTGATTTTGAAAAGAGTCATTAGCTCTGTAGAGTGTACGAGAGTAAGTCGTTTATAGGTTTAACGCGTGCCACTCGATAAGGGTGAATAGGGTGACACGACACTACTTAATTAGTATGTTTCATGAATTATGATCAGTGTTATTTATGCCTTTCTAATTTCGTATAAAATATAACTTTATCTATATAATTTACCAATATTAGATTGTCATTTTTTATATTAATTCTATCTTATAAGAAAAAAATTATTGACTCATATCATTAATATGTACTTAAAAAATTATATCAAATTATACACGAAATAAACTTAACATATTAAAGATAAATCGCATTAAATGAATGATACTCCACTCATAATCTTTTTTGAATGTATTGATTTATAATTATTCGAGTCCGTTATCATATATGTTCAACAATTGTTTTTGCATACTCATAATATTTTTTTTAGATGAGAATATAACTTAACTTTGATTTTCAATTATTTTACTTGAAGTAAAAACTATAATTAAAAAAAGTGATAATTTAATAGATGCCCAACCTAAAGTAAGAAGCCTAGGTTTATTGGTTTTAAATCCATAATAAGTGACGTTAGTATGTCACGTTGCTAGGTCACTATTTTTTACGTAGTTGCAGATATTTAATTACGAATTATTTGTAGCGAGAAGTTTTCAGAAGATTTCAAATACTGGGGTCAAAAGTTCAGAGGTTCAAGTAGTGATTTTTGTATTTAATTCTTTACATTGATTTAATAATAGGTTCTACATGTCTGCAGGAAATAAACAAAATAATATATTACCTAACTATTGTATAAATTTATTTAGATAGTTTACCTTTTAATAAATAATAGGACTTATGAAAAATTTTTTGTAGAAATTTTCAACTGCCAGAAATTACCAACTTACCAGTAAAGTAAAAATTTATTTTTATAAGAAAAAATAAACAAATACTCTATTGTAGAAATATTTTTTCTTTATTTATTTTATAAAATGTACATGAATAAATACTTAATTAAATGAACTTAATTAATAATATACTGAATTTATTTTTAGACATGTAATGCACAATTATTGCATTTATATTAAGTATCTAATAGCTAAGCAAATATTTCAATTCAAATTCTATGGATCTTTCATCAAATTATACATATTTACTATAAAATTTAATTGACAAATTTAGAAATGGATAATTCTCAGAACCTAACCTATCGAGTGTAAATATAAAAAAAATGCAAAAACTAATACTTTCTACAACATAAGGCTAAATAATGATATAATTTAATTCAATTTGAAATTTTCAGTACATTTTTTAAGTAAAACCATTTAATACACAAATATAAAGAGAAAACATTAAATTGTAATTTGGACATGTGTCCATATAAGTACCTGTTCAAGTGAATTATAAATTTAATTTAACAATTGTTTTATTCATATAATAAAATGTATACAATAAAGTATTTATTTTTTATTTATTTAGTATTTTAAATAATCGAAATTTCATTGTTAAAATAAGAAAATACCTTAGTATCACGAAAATAGGATTCACTTATCGTAAAAAGTATTATTAGGTCATATTTCTGAGACATAATAAAAGCTCTATAAAGATATACAACATCAAACTTTGAAAACTAGGTATTGGGTAGTATGTACACTAGGGACCATATTGTAAAATATACGTAACTCAAGATAAAATGTATAACTGTATGTCGATATACCCATAGAGTTATAAGCAAATATGCAGTAGGAGCTGACTGTTAAGTTAGGATAACCATACGACCCGGCGTGGTTGGAATTCTAAAAATGTTTAGTGTGCCTCATTGTCCTGAAATTATTTCAGGAGAGAATATTGTCCCGCAATCAAATTTTAATAATTTATGTTAATGTATTTTCTTTTATTGTACATTGCTAGTAGAAAAACAATATTATTTTGATAAATGATAAATTGATTAATCAATTTGATACTTGATTCAATGACAAAGTCTATTTTAAAAATGTTTGGTTAGGTGACAAAAATGTTTTTGACAAATATCAACGTTCATTGTTTTCTCGTTCTCACGTAAATGTTGTTATCATTTACTGTTAAATGATTATTTTGTCAGTAACTAATTTAGGTTTATTTAATATTGAGTTAGTTTTTACTGTAAAGTTGTTTATTTTAAAGTGCTGACCACTATGTATGGTATTTCAATAACGATAGTATAAGGTTGTTTATAATAAATTTGTACAATTTTTAGTATTTAAGCTGGAAATAATATGTCTTTCCTGGATTATTCCCGGGAATTTTCGATATTTCCAACACAAGATATGTTGACTATCACAAGAAATAACACAAAAATGTCTAACTTAAGATTATTCAAATATTTCATAATTTAACCTTTGTAATTTGTATTGTAACTTGTAACTAATATTTCTTGGTAGGTTAGTAAAACCATACGCTATATAACCTAACCTCAACATATTAACAATGCTTATACTTGCATTTTTTTTACTCGCACGTAATTAATTTAACTATCATAAATATGCTGAAAATCTAATTATTTACGAAATTAGAAATATTGAGGTTAATTATAAAATTTTATGGAAAAATGCTTCCAAGTTAAATTAATAATGCTTATTCATTTCAGTCACGAGTAATACAATTTTATACAAAATATTGTCTTTATATTATCAACTTTTATTAATTCAAGTTGATTTTTTTATATTTATATTTATTTTAATTTCAACATAAATATTACACATTAACTCATTTTTACTGTCGGTAAATGAACACGATGATAACGGGTAAGGATCATATTGACAGAAAACAGAGACTTCTGAGTGAGTAAGCTAAAGAATCTGTCACAAAGTTACTTTTATATTTATAATATTTGTATAAAAAATGCAATTTTTAAAATATTAGTATGATTTTGTTATATGATATTAATATTGTTGAAATAAATATTGAATAATAAATAACGCTTAAAAAGAATTTAAAAAAAAAAAAAAAAATATTACAATTATTATTGATTATTATTAAATATTGAAATCTGATAAGACCCGTTGTAACCTGAAATTAGCAAAATGTTCATTCTAGTGCGATGAACTCTGATCATTAAAATATACTGTATACCTAGCCTACAAAATAATTATTAACCATTCAACTGTAATTTATTATAAATAAAGTAGTATTTGTTTACATTGCACGGTCTTCCAACTCAATTCGTTATTGTTACTCGATTAAGTACTAGGCGTCTCAAAACACAATTACCAATTGAGTGTGATTTAATTTACTGCACACCTGTTCTTAATTCATAACTAATTGTACGATATTATTATATAATATTCAATGAATAAAAGTCATGTATAACTATAACAGTAGCTCAATATCAAGCACGTAATAAAGTTGTTTTATTACATATTATTATTTTTTTTTTTATAAATCTTGTGTTTTTATTAAAGATTAAATACCAAATAATTTGATAGTAAATGCATTAATACATATGACTTCTTTAAAAATTAATATTAAGTATTAAAATTATCTATTTAGCTGTTTGATGTTTGCATAAACTTAATTAACTAGAGTAATGTTCTACTTAATTAAAACATTTAAAATTTAAAATAGACAGAAATCTAAAAGGATAATTTGATAATTTCTTGAATATTGTTTCACAAAATATTTACTGTAACAATTAAAATTATCTTTTATATTTTTTCAGTAGTAGTCATAAACTAAAACCGTTTATACTATATTATGTATGATATATGACCGATAAAATTAGTATATTATTTTTTTAAAGAATTTACGTGCAATTATAGATAGTATATTATATACTGCTGAGTATCTGTTAAAAGTTAAACTAGTTTTAAACTTAATTTTGAATGGATAATAGTTATTAAAATTATTTTTACCCAAATAAATCAAAATACCTATACTAGGTTTTAACTCTTACTTATTTTATTAATTATTATGTTCTTGGTAACTATGCAACTTAATGTATATACAAAAAATAAAAATCGTATTTTATTTACAATAGTATAAACAATGATTTTATAACAGATTATTATAATCTAGGCACCTATTAAATTTGATTTTACACGAACTATTTAAAATGTTTGGGTTGAAGTGTTAATTTCCAACGAATCGTATGAATTTCTCGAAGTTTGGAGTGCTTTAGAGTTTAATATGTTTGATGACTATTCCTAATGTAAATAATATAACTTTATTTTTGAGTTGGTATTAAATATAATATATTATTTGACATTATAACAGAAGTACATTTAAAACTATAACTTATTTACCTATTAGAAATGGTTTTAACTATATTTGTATGTTTTAATTTAGTTTTAGTTTTAATACATTTGATACCCCATACATTATTTATTTTTTATTCTATAACTAATTTTAGTTATAAGATAATTGATAGAGTATTATAATATGTTATTACATACAATAAAAAGAAGACTTTATTTTTAACAATTATTCATGTTTTATTCAAAAAATTTTTTAAAAACATATCATGAACGCGTTTCTTATTTAAAAAAAAAAAAAAAAAAAAATAATAATAAAAAATAATGTGAACTTGAGCAAATTATATATTTTTGGTGAAGTTTCAGAGAATTGCTTTTGAAACTATAAAAGATAATACGTTTATAAGTTGTGTTTTATTTAATCATAATTTTACCAATATCATATAAACTACAATTCGTTTTATAGATTAGGTAAGATACTATTAAATAATGTAAACACTTTAACGAGTTGTCAATAAGAAATAAATCCTTCGATATAGTGCAAATAATACACATCGAATATAATAGATATATATTTTAATGAAACAAATAGTTATATTTTATAAATTATCATTATTCAACACTTTGATAAAATATAATATTATGTAAATAGTATATATTATACATCACTAAATTTAAGCTAATAATATAACTTTTTATTAATTATTCAAGTTATAAAATAAAAATATAAATATTATTTTACGAAATATAGACGTCGCAGGTAATGAATATTTAGGTTTACGTATTCCTGTATAGAACTATATAATATTCTACATATTATATTGTTCATACTTAATTATTTGGAAATAATTAACTGATTGTGAATTGTCTACTGTGTTAAATTTATTTATATTTGTAAATATGATTTTAATAATGGAATTAAGCTCACTGTAAACATCTTTTACTTTAACGAAGCTTAAGTTGCTTATTCAAATATTTAAATATACGTGTATCGCCACTTAACTTTTATAACGCAATCATATTAGTCATCGTACAAAGAGCTTTTATTTCTCTCAGAAAAAAAAACCATTGTACAAGGTGCTCCATTCTATGTGTTTATTATCACCAACAAATTTAATTCCAATATATATATGTTACCGGAGAAGATGATAATCAGTTATTGTCGACAATGCTAGTTAAAAAGGACAATACCTGATTTAGCACAAGGAATTATCATAAATGACTAGTAATTGACGTTAGTTCCTAAAAAGTTCTTAAAAAAAGAAGGTAATGATGCTAAATATTGCAACAATATTAAAGGCCCTTACACATTAGGTGAAAAGTTCGCGCGCAGACGTGATTTTAAATCGCCTCCAATTTTATATGCTAGAACAAAAAGTTTACACACTATAACATTTTAAGCGGTTAAAATTTGCGTTAAATCATCATTACCTCATGGTTTGTCATTATACATGGTCTTGTTATCTTTCGTACGTTTCAAAATTTTTTTTTTTTATTATTTTGAAGTGTTTAAACATAATTTATCATTAAAAAATGGTTTTTTTTGAGTTGTGCTCAGACGGTGTGCCTTGTCTATATATTATATAAGAAAAAACAAAAGAAACAAACAAATAAACGTTTTTGGGTCCATACTCTTAACATGAAAAGGCCACGTGAAGACCAATTCCATTTAACGTTTATGTCATTAAGATCTTATTCAAATGAGTTCAAAAAATACTACCGTATGTCAATTTCATCATTTGATGAACTGGTATGTGAAATGATTATCATCATATGAATGTGTATTAAAATTATTATTTAAAATCTTAGTTATCACGTATTAAGTATAGATTGCAAAAAGAAAATACAATTTTACGCAATTCTATACCACCTGAGGAAAGATTATCAGTGGCATTAATGTAAAATACTTAAACTTACATAAATATTTTAAGTAGTGCATAAACATAATTTTTGTTGGGGAGAGGGGTCTGTAGAAAAAATTCTAAGCTGCATACAAAAAAAATATTTAAAAATAGACTTTTGTTATGTCCTAAAATACTATGGAGGGGGGGGGGGTAAATCCCATTGAATTGTGATGTACAAAAGAGCAAAACTATTAATAATTAATTATTATTAAACAAAGCTACTAAGTATATTTAATTATGTAGTTATATGAAATAAGTATGTTAATTATGAAATAAAAATAATAGTATCTACTGATATTTTAGAATACAAATAAAGGTAAATTAGAATTGTCTAAAATATAATAAGTAAAATAATATAATACAAACATTATTAATTAAAAATAATTATAATAATAATAAATATTATTTATTATTTAAAAAAAATATAGGTTCTAATAACTTTAAATATTGGTGTAATTAAAACCGTTTGAATGCGATGACTGATTAAAAGATTGTATACCGGATTATTAGGTAATAGGATACATTGTAGGTTCCGAAAATAATTGTAAATTTGAGTTACTTTGGTAAAATTGACGATGTATTGTTGTATCTTGAAAAAGATTGTTTACTCTTTGTATGGTATTTATTAGTTTAACGTAGAATATTGATTTTTTGTCTTCACCGATAGATTTCATTTGGGGCAAGAGGGACATTAAAAATAATTTGACTGGGTCATATTCTTCTTCTTTTTGGTTTTTTTAAAGATTTTAAGTAATAACGATTCTTCTTCAAAATTAATATATTTTTTTTTTTTTTTTACGTTTTGGTTGGTACGGGTTTTAAATTTGCAAGTCATTTTTTGGAAAAAACATAAAACATAATATACATAAATGGTATTATAGAACAATACTATGGTCCTCACTCTGTATTGTATTATTATTACATATTTTTAAAGTTTATCTTCCCATCACTAATTTACCCATACCAATGCTAACAGAAAAATTATCTTCAAATTATATTAGATTTGAAGTGGCTCAATGAATATTTTTATATTATATTTTATAATGTGTGTATTATTTTTTATTTTTTTGTGCCAGAAGTGTTAATCACAATTTACAGTAGGATATTTTTTTAATATTCAATTTTTCAACTTGATAATTTTTTTAGTTGAAAAGTGAAATATTAATAAATTAATAGTTATTTGTATTATTTATTACAGCAGGGTAAATTATAATGCAATTTAGAGTTACATAATTTTTGTAGAGACACGACGAGCACATCTATTAGTTTTACATTGTGTTTTACATTTGCATCTCTTAAAACTTTGTGATCCAGAAATACTGTTAAAGGCAGCTGATTGATAAAAATTATGTCATACTTAGATATACGTATGTAAGTATGTTTCTATAATCTTTTCTATATTTTATTTTTCGGTTGTGGATAGCGTTATTTTGGATTGCTTTATCTTTTTAATTCGTTCACAATATTCATTATGATTGAAATTGTGTTGACAAATTTTAATTGTATTTCGTTTAAATTTAAAATCTATTTTTGAATATATTAAATAAACACTTTTTTTAAACACTGAACTGTCTCTACCACTGTTTTCAATGTTTTCATAGACTGTTACGACTTACGAAACGATACGATATACAGAGTTTGATATATAACAATCTATTATTATGAACAATAAAAAAAAATATTGAGAAATCAATAACACAAAACTGAGTTGAGATTATCTAGAGTCTGTTCAATCAACCGTGTTAATTTATAACATTGCCTAACCTAATACGGAAACGTAGATACAACTACAAAATATTAAAACAATGAATAGGGAATGATGATAATTCCTAAATTATCATCTTTTCCGGTAACATATACATATTTTTAAATCCTATTTGTTGCAAATTACTATAGAATTTTATTGTGTTAAATCTATTATAATATTTCCAGTTTATCACATTTATTTAATTATTTTTATAGGTAAATACAATTTCTTTTGCATAAAACACAAAAGGTAATTTTGTACATTAGTCTAATTTCCTAAAAATAACTTATGTATTTATAACTAAATTTAAAGTTTAAATAAAATAAAATAATTCATATAATATATATATATATATATATATATATTATATATATTGCAATAAAAGTACGAATATCGATAAATGTCTAAATTTTGGACATTTACTGAATGATTTTTGTAGTTTGGACTTTTACAAACGAGATTTGTTTTTTTGAACTGACAATGATATTGATATTGCTTTAGTGTATGCTTAATTTAACTACAAGTTTCCTTGGTTTGATATAACACGAAATGCTTTAATGGCAGCTGGCTTAACTCTTAGTTTTTTTACTATTACTTTAGTTATATTTATACATAATTAAAAACAATTATTAAATGCTTTTTGTTCCAGAGTATTTACACGGTTAGATAAAAACAAGATTGCATTGTAAAGTTTCAAATTTTATTTTTTTTAAACTTGCTTTTTTTCTCTTATTATCTTCATAGAAAATAATATTTGCTGCTGTTGTTTCTCAAGTTTTCGAAATGATCACTCATGAAGATAACGGACTTGATTAGATTAATGTGATTTTCATTAATACAGTTGAGAAGATGTTTTTTTGTAATATTACTTTGTGGTAACGATATAGCATTATCATTAAACTTTAATTTACTACAAGGCTATTTTTCTTTGGTGATTTCGGACATTTTACGAAAGGTTTTTTAGTCAAAGTAGTATACATGGTATCTAAGTACATTTTACATTTTAGAATCATTATCGAAGATGTCCTCATTGCATGAGTTACACAAAATTGTATTTACACTGCAGTGAATGACAGTTTACTTAAATAATTTAATTCAAATTTTTATACTTTAATAAATAAATACAAATTACGAATGTATTTGTACAATATAATAAATAAAAAATAAGTGGGAAAAACTATTACAAAAATATGTGTGCGTTAATTGAGAACTAAATGATAACTGATATTATGTAAAAAAAAATAGTTTGATAAAAATTATATTTTCGGAGCTATTAATTATTTCTTTAACCAGTGCTTAGTATTTTTCTAATATTAACGTAATAAATTCTAACTGTAGATTTTGAGCAGAGAGATAAATGTATTGATTTTACAATAGTGTGTGTTTTCATTTTATTATTTTTTATTTTGAGTAGTATGTATGTAAGTACAATAATAGTAGTTAATAAAATACTTAAATTTTCAACTTTGAGGAATTTTTATACTCACAAATATGAATTATCACTTCCTCCCGCAAAAAATAATTAATTAAAAATCTTATATCATAAAAAACTATCTAGATAGTTTATTTTAGGTAATTATTTTATTTACATATAAATAGATAAAAATATTCTTTAAATTATTTGTAACTTTATTAATTATCTAAATATTCTAAATAATGCTAAATGCGCATTACTAGGCGTGCTGTTATAATTTAATTTAATGCATGATATTGGCATTTATTTCTCTTACAAATCTAAGTCTTCTTGTGTACATTAATTATATGTTCTCCTTTATTTCTTATAGGGTTAGAGTACTGTAGACATGAGCCTTTCAATTTGTATTTGTCGTTAAAATGTTATCTAACTATTACATAGATATTTCATAACTATATTATGTAATGTATTTCGTGCATATAAACTTTTGTTCTTTTAATATTAAATCGTTTTTCTTTTTTTTTTTCTAAAAAAAAAAACAAATAATTTACAACTAGCAACATATACGATATAAAAAATATAAAAATTATTTTTGTGGCTCATTCGACAAAATTATTTTTTATAAAAAAAAAATTAAAAAGCATGTTATATAACCCAAAATTAACCTGAAAATTAGTCCACCAGATCACTTGTAAAAATACCAACTACAGCAACTAAATTGAACCATCATAAAAACATTTATTTATTTTGAAATCTAATATATTAACGCAAAACTACTCTATAATTCTGATGCAACAAAAATAATTTTAATATAACAAATTCTTGATAATCGATAGAGCATATAAATATTCTAATTAAAATTTAGAACCACTAATTAAATTAAACGCACCATAAATTTAATCAATAATACTAATAAAATAAAAATAATAACGCATAATAAAAGTTTTGAATACACACAAACCTTAGAATAATATTTTCTGGAAATTATTATATAGGTAAATGTTATATTATGAAATACGCATTGATTGGTTACAAAGAAAATAGTAAATTCTCTATAGTTAATATTTAAGACTTTTAATAAATTCTGAGTATTTACAAATTACTGATGGTTAGAAGGTGAGTTATTATCAATTACCAATATAGGTAATACATTATACAATGATGGACATGATAATATTTAAACATTTTCAATGGCACAAATAAAACAGATATAAATCAGGATCCATCTAGCCTCTCCCTTCATAAAAATTAATGTTCTTTGTGTTTTGTATAATAATTTGTTTTTAATTATTTATTAAAAATGGTTACAATAAATATATTAAATTTTACTTGGGTATGAACCTTTAACAATTTGTTCGGCTATACTATAACCGTTATAATTAAAGTATTAATTTTAGAGCTCAAATCATAGTAATATAAGCACAAACAATTAGTGTAAGTTTGATTTTGGAATTCTATATTAAGCATATCCTACCCTTGGCTGTGAAAGTAGAATTTTTCATAAATATTTTACACAATCTGTACGCACATTGCACTTAATTAATACATTTTGTCATTTAAAATGATTTAAATATTTAATTTTACAATTTGTCTCTTTATTAGTTATTGATCATGAGTAAATAATTTGATGCCAATCAGTGGTGTTATTGATTTTACCAACATAGCATCGGTTCTGCAAGTACAAGTAGTAAAACTACCTATTTTTATTTTAACAATCATTACTTTTCACCTATAGCGATCATCTTAATTTCTTCTTTACTTTGCTAAATTAACTAAACAATACAATTACATTAAGATTAATTATTTGAAAATTAATTAAACATACATATTCCTAATA